ATTTGGGGATGCTCAATGTGAATATGGCACTATTTGTAAATCCAAGATGGCGGGCACGATTTTTCAAATAATGGCAAGTTGGGTATCGTTTTCGAGGTATTTGGGGGTGTTCATTACGAATATTGCTTTTGTTTGAACTGTCGTGTTTGCCATCTTGGATTTAGAAATGAGTCCCATATTTGTATTGAACATTCCCAAACATCTCGAAAACGATACCCAACTTGCCATTATTCGAAAAATCGCGCCCGCATCTTGGATTTAGAAATAAGTGCCATATTCGAAACCTAAAACCGAAAATGCCATAAGCAAACATTAAAGAAAATAACTGTTAAAATAGATTAAAAAATCGCTTAAGAATGCTCCCCTTTTAAGAAAATAAAATATTTTAATATAAAATATTTCGCTTGAGTTACGAAAAGAAAGACATATAATAAGCTATCAAAGTTGTACTGGTGGTGTCAACACTATAGTAGAAACAAATATATAAGTACTGTAAATTTGTTGCAATATGTGCTCCAATTCAAATAAAATTAAAATAAATAATTATTCAATAAAGCATGAACGCAGAGCCGTTAAAAGTATTATAAAATAATTAAGTGTCCCAATGCAATCACTTACAGGAGTTAACGAAAACATTTAATGTTTATTCGAGTAAATATTAGTTCAAAATGCGCAAATAAATCGAAATTACAGGCACCACTAAAATTTACGTAATATAATTATTTTGATACAGAATAGCAAAATGGGGAGAAAAAAAATTCGTTACTTTGCAACACTTTCGTATCTTGTTGCCGCGAAATTATTTTTCTGTTTTAGTGAATATTTACATAAAAATATGAGTTGAAACGCATTACTTACTTGTGGAATGCGATGTTAGTGTCTATTTTATGTTTGTCTGTTGTATTTTTACACCCATTTACCGCACATTTCGTCATTTTTAGCAAAAAATTTTGGAGCTGTTCGCGGTGCAATATGACCTTGAGCACTAACAGCCCGCGCGCTCCTGGGACGCGTTTGGAACCCTCTAACTTGCCTCACTTAGCGTGTGCGGGCTAGGTTTCTATGCGTTATTATTCTAAGGCTGTAAGTATAAAAACTCAATTGGGTGATGTGTCTATTCTCTGTGTATACTGTCCTCCCAAAAGTAATTGATTTGATAGTGACAAATTAAAAAACATCATAAATAATATTCCTAAACCATGCATAATCATGGGTGACTTTAATGCACATCACATACTTTTTGGTTATCATAGTAACAACAATAGAGGCAATAGTTTGTATAATTTAATAGATGAATTGGATTTATGCATTTTAAACGATGGCACACCAACTACATGTCCATATCCCAATAGACAAACTTCTGCAATAGATTTAACTTGTGTCAGTCCTTCCATAGCTCATTTGTGTGAATGGCAAAAAAAAAAAAAAAAAGGTCCAGGTTGATCCCATGGGTAGCTACTATTAACCTATGTCTTTTCATTTGAACATCCAACCATCGTTGTATGAAATTAATTCTATTAAAGAAAAATTCATTGTAATAAAGCCAATTGATCGGAATTCTACGAATTGTCTAAGGCATGCTTTTCTAGTTTAAACCTTAAAGATTCACTAGAGCTTTATAACAGTTTTGTCAATATTTAAATGATTTGAGAGAAAAAAAGGCCTTGGAAATGATAGTCATTCGATATTAAAAATAAATCACAATAGAAGGTTTACTTAGAATTATTTATTCCATTTTTTCGAAACATGCATATAAATTCCAGGGAAAATAGGAACAATAGATAAAAACTTACAATGTAAATAATCCACGTATCATTTATACTAAGTAAATGCTACTGCTTACATTTTAAATTCTGCGTACAAAAATATTATAAAATTAGTATACATTTTAAATTTATTATAATTTTATGGCACAGGAAAGCGATTTTATCGTCTAAATTGTAAAATCCTTAACATTCCTAATTTTAATATTAAAAAAAATATTAAAACATCATTGACCTATAAAACGTACATAATCTTTGGATATTATTTCAGTTCCGTTTTACATAGTTTTACATTGAATATGTAACATTTAAGAGTAATAACATTAAACAGAACATTTATTATACATTATTATTTTGAAGCACATAACTTACAAATTTTAATATTAATTTTACATATAATTCGTGGCTTTATGCGAAATTTAAATTTTCTGACTAAGATAACGTGGGCTTTTCCGTTTTACTAAGAAATAGAACACACTGCAACTAAAGCCCAATATAACAAAATTAACATACATTTTATAAACATTTGGTGCAGCGCATTTACAACAAAGATGCATTTACATAAAAATACCGTACATTTACGCAGTTTTATGTTCTACAAAGTTGCCACTTGTGACACATTGACCTCTGACTTTTAGTCTGAAATTTATAAAACGAACTTTGACTTCGACAAAGCAACAACGAAGATAAGCAAGTTTTCGTATTTAAAAAACGAACTTTGCCAAAGTTTGATTCTAGTTTAAACTTATGTAAAGGTCGTTTTGTAAATGTATACGAAAAAGTGGTTTGGTGCAACATTTTTGCTTAGTTAAAGCTCGTTATATAAATCTCAGCATTAGAATCGATAAGCAATAAACATCATGCATTTAAAATGTACACTCATTCACTTCACTGTACTCTTAGTATTGCCAGAAACGTTTCTTTATATTCGCACCTTTATTTAATTAAGTCGGACTTCCACAGTATCATCATTCAAAACACCCTGCTTCTCTTCTTCATCATAAGGGCTGAGTTTTTCTGCCAAAGGACGTGTGATGAAAAGGCAACAGCCTTCGTTGGCCAGCCCACGCATGGCTCGCCGCCGTAAGATAACAAGTAGGAATAATATGACCACGCCTTGAAGACTGTTGAAGGTGTCCATGATTTTCCTAAAAATAAAGAAATATGATATTAGAACTTCTTTTTGGAAGTTCCCGTGTTAATAATAAATACTAAACTCTTCATATAGAGAAAAATAACCGATAACCTAGTTTTATAATATCGTCGGCATCAAGTCAAGTTGTACTAGTATAATGGTTTTTATCGCAAAATCAATTTAATATCTTACCATAGTATGGTGGATTTTCCATGTGCAAAACTAGCGATCTCAAATACCCACGAAATACCCATGACTAGGAACAACTTCAATGAGAGCAGGAATCTGAAAATAAAAAATGTTCACCTATATACCACAACATAATAATTATTTGACAAAATTGTGGCTGTGTGATGTGAAAAGAAAACAAACAAAAGTTTGTAAAGTTAGGAAAAAATGGCTAAAAATGTCTGTTCGTGACTCGACACTATGCACTACAAACTACATATAAGATTTTTTTTTTTGCTAACAACTGACGTCACATCTATGTATTTACAACTAAGTTTTTCCATTAATATCACAATGGAAATGCGGAAAAGCGATTTCAATCCCCAATAATTGTATAACTAAATATTAATAATTCTCATTGTATTAAGGAATAAGTGGCCAAAGATTCCTTTTATTTTCATATTATTTTATATTATTAATAATAATATAATAATCTAAATAAAATAAAATACTAAAATTTGATTCTGTTTGTTGTTTTTTAACTGACTTCAAAAAAGGAGAATGTTCTCAATTCGACTGCATTTTTTTCTTTGTGTGTATGTTACATGATTACTCCGACATTTGTGAATCAATTTAGATGATTCTTTTTTACTGGGAAGGGGTACCACAGTAGTGGTCCCATTCAAATTTGAAAACAATATTCCACCTCTAAGGATGGCAAATTAGGGGATGAATCCGATTTATCCGATTTTTTATAAAAAAGTATAATTATAATAAAAACTAGTACACGTACTTATGTTTGAGGTTGTTTAACTTCTCCACTTCGTATTTTTTCGTCTGCTGCCACAGTAACCAAGAAGACACTATAAAAAGCACCACGTTCATGGCGATGAGGACTGCGATTGGACCGTAAAAGAAAATCCACGTCTCAGTTGTACCTGGAATCGAACACAATCTTTGTTTAGTTGCACGGTGTATTATTAGCATTGCCATGTTTAATTTTCTTACAGTTTGCTCTTGGGTGAACATTTAACACCATTTAATATGTAACAAATATTTTACTATAACTTGTATCAAAATCCTTCTCATCCGTGCCATCTATCTATCTATATGTAATCTAAATAAGTATTTTGTTAATGTCATATGAACTTTGTTGTACATCAATATATCATCATCACCACCATCAACATCATCATCATGTTCACCATTATCATTAGCATCATTATCATTCACATCATCACCACAATCATCGTCATCATCACCACCATTATCATCGTCACCACTGTCATCCGCATCACTATCACCACCTAATTCAAGTAAATGTTTGGCTTATAACTATTTGACTTAAAAGTAGACCAGAATGAGAACGACAATAGTGATATAGATATATTTTTTATTGTTAAGTGTGTAAAATATACTGGACCGTTATAAAAGTGCATGGATTTTAAAGTTCTCTTTGTCTAATTGATGTACAATAAAGTTTATAAAACTATTACTTAATACTTATTTAAATAGATTGCTTTACATGAATGAGAACGCTTTAGTCACTACCGCTGAAATTGGTATTTAAGTCGTTTTTTTGCTAAAACGGAGGTGCACAGGTTACTTCACTGTGTACACTCCAATCCGACAGGAGCCCCTTCTCACGGGTGCGAAGGGTGAAGGTGATGCGGTTTGAACTTTTGTTATTAGGAGGCTTTTAGTTGAAGTGACACTAATAATAAGAAAAATTGAAACACATTTTGTATTCCCAAGAAAACATGTTTGTTTATAATAAATTGGAAAGTTACGATAATTATTCGACGTGTAAGTTATTAGAGTTTATCCTCGATGGGAAATATTGCGATTTTCACGAGTGTTTAATTTTTTTTTCTTTTCTTAAAATTAGGGCGACGTGGAACTGGTTCCCATGAATGAGAAATTGCTCACTTTTTTAATTTTTATTTATTACTGTGATGTAGTAAAATAGTCTTTTCATGTGTAACACAGACTAAGTAAGCAAGCAATCATATTAAATAAATAATGCTTAGCATTCATGTAATAACATAAAAGTTATTGAAAGGGACACATGTTTGGAGGTTATCTGAATACGACCCTTTATGTAAATTAATAAAATTAATCAATTTGATCTTGCTGCTACGACATACATTTAATCAAGTTTTGTACAAAATCATGAGATTAAAAAATCACAACCAGTTCTGTAGTATACGTGAGGCTCCGAATACTAAGCAGAGTTTGATGTCACAAAACCTGACGACGTTGTTGTCCGCATTCCTGGACATGTACGAGTGAAATTAAAAGAGATCCGGGTCCTGTATTGGAAAGTATATGAGAATATACATTGTAATATTGATTGTAATGAATATTATGATGTTTTACTATCATGATATTCAATTATTTTTTATGAAATTACTCTACTAGTTTGTTATAATTATTAATGACGAAGGTCGAACACAAAGAAAAATTCCTTCGATCTGACAGGACACGAACCTGCGTTTGTGCTATACCATAGCGGCTGCTCTACCAACTGAGCTACAGGTCGAGTCACCAGGAGGGATGCACGAGTTTTTGCTTTGAATCGATTTTTTGAAACGTAATGGATCATATGATTCCTCCTCTGATTCTGACAAGGTATTCATTATTAAAAAACTAGCAATGAGGATACTTGCCGGAGTAACACGAAGGGTCTCTTGTAGGGACTTATTATGAGCACGTACCCGTTGACTTACAAAATGAGCCTAATGATGAAACATTTGATCGTCGACTGAGACTTCTTGTTGGATAATGCGTATTATTCCACTGAAGAATATAGGGACATGGTCTTGTAATATATGTTGTAATTTATAGATTATTGGGTATAAATATTATTTTACAGAAATGAATAAATTACATAATCTTTATGCATAAAATCATTATATTGACATAATTATTATTATATTATTTAATATGTTCCTACATTCTCTCACATAACTACATTAACTATGTTAAAATTACGTAGTACAAAACTTGTAATGGATATTTGTAATTTTTTGAAATGTAACATTTATTACTATTTGTAACGATTCTTGTAATACAATATATTGTATATAATAATGTGAAGTTTACAAGATAATAAATAAATCTAAATCTAAATCTATGCCTCTGAATCGACCCAAGGATCGGATCGTATGCTCTTGAATCGATCTCATAAAAATAGTTTCTAAATGTGTAATAAATAAAACACCTTTATTACATGATTTAATTACCATAATTTATAAATATTTTTTTTTGCTTTTCACAGATGCTAACGTAATCCTTACATTTAACTAAACTTTTTAATAATAATGTATATAATTTAACGTCCGAAGCATTGTCCTTCTCTTTATTTTCCGTTCCTGTACTTGACGAAATCATTAATAAGACTCGTTTAAATTATGATCACGATCAAGTAGATTCGATTCGTCTTAATTTTGAGTGGTTTCGCTTAAATATCGCATTGAGGTGAATCGATTAAAAAAATCGCTCGATCGTATGCAATTGAATCGATCTTCATAAAAATCGAATCGATCTTCATAAAAATCGAATCGTAAAGTGCATCCCTAGTGGCAGACCTTACGAATTTTTTCTACGTGTTGGTTACAGATCTTTGTTTTTGTTTTTGAAGACAAAGTACATTACAATAAAGTAACACTTATTTCGAAGAGTAATATGCAGTAAAGTAGGACAAATCAATGGTACCTTGGAACCAGCAGCTGTGTTCTCCGAAGCCAGGTTTCCAATGGTCACCTTCAGAGTAGTTCGTGATCAGAGACACCACCAAAAAGAAAATGGTGCCGCCCCAAGCGTACAGACTGTATCTGAAGTATTGCAGCCTCTCTGTCTTCTTTAGATGAGTCGAGTCACTAGGATTCGCATTAGAAAATAATTTAGAAAATTACATACAAAGTACAGTGCAAACATAAATCAGTGTTGCCAGGTGGTTACATTTCTTATATTTTTCGTAACTTTGTCCCTATCGCGTAATATCTAAGTAACTTGTTTTTAAGGCAATTTTCAAAACTTTTGAGGATATTCCGATTTTTAAAATTCAACTATATTTGTTGTTGTAAATCCTAAATAGTTTACGAACCCACTCAGATTAGACAAAAAACAAAATGAAATTAATTAATTACTTGTTATAGCTTTTTTTTTTCGATTTATACATAGGCATACAGGATATATCTTTTATGCATATTTTTATTATAAAAAAAAAGAATTTGTAAATTATAACTTTTTCAGCAAAAATGTAACTTTTCAGGTGATTTTCGACGCATGGGCCCTGGCTACACTGATCTTAATAAGCCGAGAATATAAATAATTCAGCTATTGTGATGTAGCTGTGTTATTGCTTTATTTGGTGTTCTTAAAAGTAGAAATTAATTTTAGTATTATACAATTCCACGGTTTTAAAATAAACTGTGCTTTAAACTGTCACGATTTTCACACATTATTCGATTTTAAGTTCGGGATTTAATCGTGTATAAAAACATGTTTTATTTACCCCCGCATTTCAGACGTATTACAACGTCTATGGTCTCGAAGGGACTACTCATAATACCTCCGAAAAGTCGAGTTTAAACTGGTTGCGTAACAAAATACTTACACAATGGAGCGATACGTGTTAATGCTTATCACGTTCATCCAGAAGAAGGTGGCCATCATCCAGAAGTATACGATAAAACCTGCAAAAGAGTGATAAATTACCGTGTTCTATCAGACGTTAAAGTAAAAATGGTAACAAAGGACAGAATAGAATATAAAATACACATATAAATATAATTTATACCTGTGACAGTACAGATTTCGCCTCTGAATCCCGGACTGAGTTGCAGTACTCCCAAAGACAGATATCCTAGTGCCATGCTGATGCACAGACTTATATAGCACAAGCCTTGTAAATCCCTGAAAATACAGACATTCAAAATCAAAATATTTTATTAATTAATGATATTTACCTGCCCATAATATTAAATTATTTCTTGCACAAGGAAAAGACATTAAAAACATATGTCACATATACAAAAATGAGCTTATGAAGCTCATATACGAAAGCTCTAAAAGAGGTCAACCCTAGATATGGGATGAAAGAAAGATTACAGGACTAATTTATTGTACAAGCAACAGCACAATATCGCCACCATTGCAACGGAACAAGATCCCTTAATCATAGCTGACTGTGCTGTCATCTATACAATAAATTTATTAGTATTTAAATGTAAATTTAAATGGTGATATTACGTATATAACTGCTATATACACCTACATGGACAACTGCTATATGTATACATCTACACAGACGCCTACTATATTTACAAAAGGTGTCTGTTATCCGTAGTAGACAGTCCACATATTTTAATCATGCAAATCTGTATTTTAAGATATTACAAACTAAACGACTCAAAAGCAATTTGAATAGTATGAAGAGAGTTATTTTAATCGTACATATTGTAATATCAACAGAGGCGAAATTAGAAATAAATAGCATTCTGAAACCAATACCGTCACTAAACGAAAATGTCGCTTTTTGAAATTTAAACATTATAGTTGGTTACAACACGAGAAATGTTTTTTTTTTGTGAAATAAATTAAGTAGTCAAATTTGATCCAACATCATACGTCAAAAGTGATATCACATGAAAATCATAAAATAATACAAACTATATGAAAGTAATTATGTATATGTGAAATTTTATAAATCTATTATTTGAAGAAAAAAACTGTCGACTAATTTCGCATCTTGAAACCCTCTTTCCTGTAAGTTGTCTTTTGCTACATAGCAATAAGACCGCCTGTTGCACATTATTTTACTATCTTTATACCTAAGTTACTGTATTGTATGTTAACTGTAATTTTATGTGCAATAAAGAATATTTCATTCATTCTTTTTGCAGACGTGGCCATATTACATCAAGGGTATGATTTATGCATTTAAGGAAGTATTATCCGGAGAGTAGAATTTTTTATCTTTTAGCCATGACATCAGCTTACGTTTATATAGCAGATTATTACTTACAACTTTTATATCTAAGGGTAAAGCACACATATACATATACATATGTATGTATATCCTCACACACATGACCTTCCCTTGTTTTTAATCGTAACTTAAGATGATAGCATAAAATAATCTGTCTGGGTATTTTAGCACAAATTGCCTCTTCGCATTTTTTGTCCAAATAATTTACTAGTGTCTGTGGGACTTTCGCAACAAAAAACCCATATCGAATAAGGACGCTATGTAGCCATGAAAGACCTCTAAAGTTGTAGATTTAGCAGAAGTATCACGTATCAAAATGGTTTGTTTGGTTTGCAATTTAAGTAACATAAATGACAAAAAAATAACCTACAAGTTTTAATTTTTTTTTATGGTGTGACGGGACGAACAAATTCTGGAAGAACCAATGTCTATCCAGGTGACAGTTATCGAAACTGACGTTCGCATATAAAATGATTTGTTGCCTTTTCTTGAATTGAAAAATCTTTCATTTGTTGCAAAAATTAATCCTTTCTCAAATTGGAAAATCTTTATGCTTTTAGTCGACCAAAAAAATACAGAAATAACATACCTCATTTGTGGCAGATACAAGTAGACAGTGAGAGTGAGGAGAAGGAAGACAACAGAAATAAGAGTGAGAATTCCGGTGACTTCCATTTGAGTCGGTGAGGAGGGCTCGTAGCATATCACTGCTCCGGCGACTATACCCGCGTCAGGATCCGAGTTATTGCGATACACTTGAGTTAGGCAGTACCTAGAACAGCAAAATAATATACTTAAAAAATGCACCTCAGGTTGAGACTTCTCGTCTTTTGAAACCATTATGCACCCGTCATGGAAGAATGGCATAAGTTGAGTGACGTCAAAAACGTTTATTAAACATTTTCGATGTAACTCTACTTTTGCCATTTTTCCATGAGGGGTGCGATGTGTTGTCGACATGTGATTATAACAGTATATTCAAAACAAGTTTAAATATCTTTAAGTTAATTAGTAAATCAAATCTGACTTACTGTGTTGGATCATCTACATAAACGAAATGAGGGGCGTCCAGGGAATAGAGTTTATCGCCTTCCGTATATGCCTCCTTCAGAAGCCACTTTCCGCTGGGGCAGTTGACATTAGCAGGTTGGTTATTGCTCCGACAACGTCCTTTGGCGACGAGAATATCGCCTTCTGGGCAACATTGCTGAACTGCTAACGTTAAGCGCACACCAACCGCCAAAAGCATGAAAAATTCCTACGAAGAACAAATAATAATTTTTGTTTAAAACACAAAATGGTAATCGTTACGTTGGCAGTACTCACTATTATTGAAAGGTATTTTTTATGACACCAAGCGACGGGACGAAAAGTCGTGCGCCTGGTGGTAAGCGACACACCTCCCCGTAACAGTTTGCCATGCTATTCAGGGCTTTAAATCGCAAAGATTTGAGGGGCACTGCCACTGCGCCCGTCACCCTGAGACATAAGTTGACTAGTCCCATGTGCCTCTATATTTACCAGCACCCTTTCCCTTCAAAACCGGAACGCAATGCTCACATTACTGTTTGGTGGCAAAAATAGATAAGGTGGCACTAACTCATTCACAAGGAGCTCTACTGATACTAAATTAAATAATAAATTTGCAAAGTCTCCCTGCAGCGACTTGAGTGAGAAGCGACATAGAAGCCCGAGAATAGCAATATTCTCGCTGAAGTCGAAACCTGTCATGCTAGTATGCCCACATATTTTACTGCGTCTCTTATTTGAATCATATGCGCACTATATTGAACGTAAACGTAATATGTTGTAGGTACACTTCTATTTATTTGTAATCCGCTTTGTGGTACCCAATATGCTACTCATACAATTTTCACCGTCTGCTTGCTTTTGTAGAGTGGACAGATAACTAGGTCATGCAATAGCGGAAGGTTTTTAATACCAAAACGTCCAATATCTGAGTCCCAATTTCGAAATTGGTTACGAAACTGGCAGTTATTTTATTTAATTAAAAATTGACGTAAATTAATTAACTATTCCGAATATGGAATATGCGATATATCAAATCGATTTCCTTCCATTTTTAGTTGTTTTACCATTTATTTGGTTTATAAAAAAGAACACAATTTGTAACTACAAATATTCCAGTTGTGTTTTGAATCACTTAAAATTAATTTGGTTATATTAACATTTAAATTGACTTTTTGATTATCATTGGCAGACAATATTTACGCTATGACGCCAATTGTAACCCAAACAATAACGAGTCTTATTCTGTAGAAATGTGTGCAAGACCAACCCTCACGGTAACTATAGAACTACATCAAAGTTCAGATTAGTAGTTAGTAAAAATCTGTACTGATAAAAAAAAACATTGATCTCGGGAATTGTTCATGGAGTCAAAAAATATTTTAAACATACTGGCCTCTATAACTAACGTAATCGACATTTTTAGCGAAATTAATTTATTAACACGTTTAGAAACGGTGAATCGAGATTTATAACCCCATAAAAGCTGTTTTTTTAATTTTTTTTTTTAGTTTCAGTTTTATTGTTAAGCAAAATCGGCGATTTGACATGTTTCAAAGAAAAAAAAAACGTAGATGCCAATATCTCGAAAGTTACCGAAATGTAAATGCGTTACTTTTTTTTTATGATACCAAGTGTTCTTGATGGCAAGCGACATGTCTACCCCAGTTGCCGTGTATCTAAAACCTTTAATCATAAAGACCTGCGGTGCACTGCTACTGCGCCCGTCACTCTGAGACATAAAATTGGCGAATAGCCTTGCGCCTGTAGTTTCACCAGCACCCTAACAAAACCGGATCCCAGTAATTCTCATTCTTACATTTCTGTTTACCGGAAGAAATAGATATGGTGGCAATACTTGCTTGTACGAAACTCTAATGCTACAAAGAAATTGGTTGCATAAATAAATAATACTCTTAGAATGTAGTTCCTATTAAATTGATAAGAAGATACTGATAACCTCAGATTTTACATATGCTTTTGATAAAAAGTGACCCGAACTTAAGTGTAAACAAGTACTAATTAGTACAACCAGTTATCACTTTTGGACTAACCGATAAGCGCAAAATGTATGTATGTAAATATTTTTATTTTGTGAGTGTGCTCCCGAATGAAAAGGTCACAGTTATTTTTATGTGTGTGTGTGTGTGTGTGTGTGTGTGTGTGTGTGTGTGTGTGTGT